TCATCGAATTCCAGCCATTTCACGTAAACCTCGTCGCCCCTCCTGCGCAGTACTTTCTCCACGAGATACACGTCAGGATAAGTCGCGCGATGCAACTCGTACTCATAGAACGCTCCAGTGACGGATTTTCCACGATAGTCCTCGAGTAGGTAGGTTACGGGATTGGTATGCTGCACTTTAACGATCTTAAACACCTCGGTGGTCCAATTCGGCGTGTAACCCTTCTCGAAAATTGTCTTGTATTTGCTGACGCGTACCGAGTCGCCCGCTTTGAACTTTGCCGGGCCCGCGATCTTTATCGCGCTGTACACCGTAGCCAAGAGTCTTTCGGCGATCGCGGGGGTAACGTCGACGGGTCGCATGCCGATCGTTCGATGCTTGCGCGCATTGTAATCCGACACGAGTCGCGATAACGCGTCAAATCACTTGTAAGTTCCATTGAGCGTAAACATTTTCCACATGTTGTTTTTTAACGTGCGATTGAATCGCTCGACGACCGACGCCCTCATCACCGAAAACGTGGAATAATGAATGATACCGTGTTTTCTCACGAGACGTTGCACGTCGGTGTTGTAAAATTCCTTCCCCATGTCGGTTTGTAGATTACTAGGGCACCTCCCGCTATCTCGAATTATCTCGGCGATAGCGTCAGCTGTCTCGCTGCCACCTTTACCCTTGAGCGGCACGGCCCAGGCGTACTTGCTCAACACATCGATGACGGTGAATATGTAGTGGTAGCCTCCGTTGAAACGCGAGTACGGACGCATCTCGACGATATCAGCTTGCCACAGGTCGTCGTACCCTCGCACTATGACGTGTCTGCGGGGAAAATTTCTTCTCGCCGGTGCGTGCAATTTGTCCACCAACCGTCGCTTTTCGATATTATTATCCACATCAGTCGATTTTAACGGTCTCATGTTCGGTTAGCGTTTCGTTGGCTGTTCGTAGTCGTCGTTCTTCAGCTGTACGTAGCCGTTTCTGTTTATGTTTCTGCGTCGTTCATCACTGTTTCTGAACCGCTCGGAAACGGTTTCGAGCCGTTCCTGAACCGTTCGACGGCTTGCATAATTGTCTTTTACTTGACTGAAAACTTTTATGCCAAGATATTGCTTCTGGCACCGTCACCTTCCCGAGCGTTACATCGGCTCAAGATAATTCAATATTATCCAAGTTTTGGTACGCTGTTTTCGATATATGTAAATCTTTCGCGCCGATATCTTACTTCCTTTAATCTGTCTAGCCAATATTATTATTTTTCTTACTTACCAACACATTGTGATATTTTTTAAGTATTAAATAAAAATAAATGGATCATGAGTGATGATTTTCCTTCTTAGAAACTTTTTTTACAATTCAAAATACATAACATTTGAAAATTACAAAGAAATCGGCATAGAGGAGGGGAGGAGGGGGCTTATACTCAATATCTACATATATTCTTTATATTATTCTCCATTGTGTGATAATGATTACAACATGAGAAATCTAACTTTCTAGCGGCTCAAAAACCATTGGTAAGCAGACCGAAAACGTTGATTGTCTTAAAAATAAACTTGCCAAGTTGGAGAAGCAAGTGATTGATCTGACATAATT